TCCCCACCAGTCCCCAGTCTTTCAGCTCTAACCAGCACAACATATTGCTCACCTCAAACCTTCTCTCGAAGTTCTGGAACTCAAGCATTCTTACTTGAAATCCATCTGCCAGTGCTCCACCTGAGAGAAGGAAAGCACAGAACCACCACTTCAGTTTTTCAAAAGCAGTCAGGTGTTGGCCATCAAGAAATGCTCTTGCTTTACACTGAAGCCAATGCAAAAGTGCTGCTAAGTCAGCTCTTTGATTGCTCTATTATTAATTTCGCCCCAATTTTATTCCTTTTTTTTGGAACAAGATATTCTCTCTTTTCTTCCAGTTAATGCAAAATTTCTGCTGGCTTTCCTCACCTCCCTCTGGCATCCCTTGAGCCTTCTGAATCCTGGCATTCAGCACTTCTTTTGCAGACACAAAGAAAATGCGATCCCCTGCCTGGGCTCGATCCACCACACCCAGCTCATCCACCAGGAAGCTGGTACAGCGCTCCATGTGCTGCCGCCGCACCTGAGGGACAAACAGGACAAACCACACCGCCAGTCAGATCTGCTCCATCCACCCCTTAAAGGTTAGACCAAGCACCCACATGCCCTCTGCTGGTACAAGCTGCCAACATAAAAGAAAAAACACTTTCCTATTTTATGGAATTTTCCAGAGGTTATCTAAGTGATTTAACTCCAAAAGGCCCCCCGTGGGAGTTGTGCTCAGAAGTTTCGAGAGTCGTGCCCTGATCATTAGCCTGTGGTCCCCTCAGCCTCCATATTAAGGGGATAAAAATCCAAACTGTAAAACAATCACACACAACACTGACTGTACCTGCAAGGACCAGAGCCAAAAGACTCCATAATATCCATGAAAAGAGAAGAAGTTTAAACACATCACAAACCTCTTCCATGTACTCTGGTTCGGAGGCAGATGCATCCCAGCGGTTATTTAAAATAAATATATTGGGCCGAGACAGACGTTCATTCACCTTGTGAAAGAACTGCTTCTCCTAGGGAAAATGAAACAAAACCTCTTCAGATTAAGATGTCAGGTATTTTTAACCTTTAGGCAAATTCCCCGAACAGGTGGATTTGCACATACAGTTTGCATCAGTGTTGATTCAGAATTTGCCACCAGGACAAACACGTCGGCATCGAGACAGAATTTGTCGATCCAGCTGTCCAGCTCTGTGGTTACATCAATGCCAGGGCTAGCAATAGAGAGAAATGAGACATTACTGTGCTGTGGAAACAGCAAAAACAGAATTGCAAAGGTTAGTAAGAGATGTGTTTCAGCTTTTCAGGGCCTTAATTTCCCATATCTGAGCAACACTGTCCTGAGGTGACAAGAGTACAGATTAAAATGAAGTACTGCCTACGAAAATCTGAGTGTGAACTGCAGCAAAGGACTTTGCTCACTGTCACAGATTAGAACAGGGTCAATCCCTTTGATGTTTGTTAAACAGGTATCTGCAAACATTTCCGTAATTAGTCTGTGATAAGCAGGAAAGGAAAGAAAACTATTTCTCACCTGTCCATCAGCACCAGGTCGTCCTTTAAGAGAGAACATTTGGAATTGGGCCACATTACACTGACCAGGCTGCCAGCATTCAGATGTTCATCCTGATGAAGGGCATGAGCCAGCTGGTTTACTGTCTATGAAAAGATGGAAATAACACTTCCTGTGAGCCAAGACCCACTAACACAATTCTCTCCCCTTCAGAGCTGTGCGCTGACAATTTAAGATAAAACTCCAAATTATTTTCTCCTGCGGAGGTTTTCCATATAAAACCTTTTTGAGTGTCCTGGTCAAAAAACAACCACTAATGAGAGTTTATGAGAGATTTTTCTGCCAGGAAAAGTTAGTGAGGAATTATCAGGAAGTCTGTGATTCTGTCAGTCATACAGAGCTCAGAACTTCCTGAGTCATTGCTCCCTGCTGTCACCAACAAATACAACATATCATCTTTTTCATAAAATGAACAAGTTCCATCCTGTGACTTGCTTCATTCCTCCCTTGCTACATCTAAAAAAGACTCATTTTTCATCTCCATTCCTTTAATGATTAAAATCCTTAACTGTGAAATTTATTAATAGCATTTTAATTTTCTTGTTCCTTCCCTTTTCTGCCATTTCTGAAGAGCCTTTATGCTTAAGGAAATTGTACCTTAACGCTCTTCTTTTCCTCTGAGCCCTCGGTCAGCAGGAAAGCATCATGTCCATCCGTCCCTTCTACACGCAGGAAGCAATTAGTGGTGTGCCCAATTCCTGAAGGAAGGACTTTGTCCCACAGCATGGCATTTATGACAGTGCTCTTCCCATTGCTTGTCCTGCAGGCAGATTGAGAATGGTGTAGCAGGGTTCCAAGAGCCACGAGTGCTCACTTTGATATTACAGAAAGCAAGTTCTCTAGAGCCAAGCTGTACCAGAGCCATAAGCAATTCAGGTGCCAGAGGCAACCTGCAAAAAGACTTTGCTAGTCTCTTGTTGTAAGAATTCTTCAAGTTGAAGAACTACACGACACAATATTTCTTTCCAATTTACAAAGCACTACTGCCAGGGACAAGCACGTTACAAGCAGAAGCTAAAGCATTAGTGTTTCTATAAATATTCTCTACTGACTGCAATCCTCGAATGCTTCACTGAGTGGGGAGCGTAGGCAACACGCACCCACGTGACTCACCTCCCAAAAAAAGCAACTTTCATGTGTCGTCTTGCCAACACTTCACTGATACCACTGACTTTTGACAGGTAGCCTTTGACTTCCAGTACCTGCTCTTCCGTGGTGACAGGATCAAGCTCTCCATTCTTGTGCGTTTCTAAAATCAAAACAGATCATGTCTCTGAATTCCAGGACCAGCTGGGTCAGTCCTGGATGACAGCCCTCTCTGTGATGGTAACACACAGAACCGAACATTTATCTGTCCCACAGCCTGCGTGGGTGATCAATGACACCCTGAGGCACTTCTGCAACAGTATTTATCAGCTGGTCCCTTTTGTGTATCTAAAAACCATCACCATCCTTGGGACTGCCTTAAACAGAACAGCCCACACTGCAAACACTCCAGCACCCTTAAAAAAAAAATCTGTCTGTGCCTTAAGCTGTTAAAGCCAATTACTGGCATATGTTACATGTCACTGACAATGATGTGTCCAGCCAAGAACACTGAAAGGATTATAGGCAAAAAAACCCTAAAGGGGTTGTGTAATTAATTAAAAATCTGCCAAACAACATAAAAGTCATAGCTTCCTAACTAGCTCAGTTTCCTAACACGCATGAAATTCTCATCTTCAAAATACGAACCTGAACACCTAAAAAAAATTCAACAAAATAATTTTCTGTTTTTCTTATAAACATGAATACATAAGCAGACACAGGTGTATAAATAAGCACAGGTCTAGCAGCGTTATTTAACTGAATAAGGGGGTTTGGTGGGTGTGTTTTGGAGAACTGTCTGTGGGCAAAGCACTGTCACACACTCGTAGTTCCAGAACTCAGCTTACCTTCCAGGAATGAGGAGCTCTCGTTGATGTAAGCAGCCAGCTGTTCAAAGATACCATTGATTTTCTTCTTTGCAGTGACAAAATGTTTAAGTGGAGAAGCATTTACCTCAGCCATGTGTCTTTTATCCTTCTTCACTGCAACTATTGAGTTGGAACGAGTGAACAACAGGGACATTGCGCTGCAGGGAGAAATCCAGGGAAGAACAGCGTCACCAAGAGCCAACAGCTATCCAAGGGCGTGTAGTGATAGGATAAGGGGGAATGGCTTCACACTGACAGAGGGCAGGGTTAGATGGGATATTGGGAAGAAATTCTTCCTTGTGAGGGTGGGGAGGCCCTGGCACAGGCTGCCGAGACAAGCTGTGGCTGCCCCATCCCTGGGAGTGTCCAAGGCCAAGCTGGATGGAGCTTGGAGCAACCTGGCCTAGTGGAAGGTGTGTCCCTGCTCATGGCAGGGGGGCAGAACTGGATAATCTTTAAGGTCCCTTTCAATCCAAACCAATCTGTGATCATGATTCCATGATCCAACTAAGCATCCTAACGTGAACTAGATAAATACATATTTTAAAAACAATTCCATTTTATACAAATGAAAACTACTCGTATATCAGAAATTTTTAGAAAAACACCTTTCCCTCTCCCTTCCAATAAACTGCCCCACAACGATCACTCCTCCCCATCCTCCACTTACTTTCAGGATGGGTTACGTTTTCACCAGTCACGCATGGCCAGCTCAAGGCCCTCTCGAAGACAAAACGGCAGCAGTTTCCCTGCCTTCTCCCGCTCCCCGGCCGGACTCCGTCCCCTCCCCTCCGTCCCGCAGCTCCTTCAGCGACGCCGGGTCCAGCCGGTCTCCGTCCCTGCGGCAGAAGGGCTGGGGATGAGGGACGGGAGGTCCGTGAGGGGCCGGGCTCTGCCCCCCCACCATCCCCATGCCCGGGGGATGCTCGGGGCTCTGCCCCCCCCACCATCCCCGCTTGCCCAAGGGATGCTCCGGACTCTGCCCCCCTCCACTCCCATGCCTGGGGGATGCTGCGGGCTCTGCCCCCACGCCATCTCCATGCCCGTGGGACGCTCTGGGCAGGCGCTCCGGGCCGACACCGCCGCCTCCCCCTCAGCCCTCACGGGGCGCTCAGCGCCCCCTCGCGCCCCCTCAGGACCCTTCCCCGGCGGGTCTCACCCTCACCCGCTCCCGCCCTTGTCTCTGCCTTTGTCCTCGTCCGTGCCGCCCGAGAGGCGACATCCCTCCCTCCCCTTCGAAGCACCGTCCCGGGCTGGAGCGGCTCTCCCCGGCCCCTGGGCCGGGCACCGCCCGGGGCTCACCTTCACCGCCGCTCCCTCACGGCCGCCATGTTCCCCCCGCGCCGCCGTCACCGGGCGGGTCAGCGGCGCGCGCCGGGCGCGGGGCACGCCGGGAGTTGTAGTTCGGGGCCCTCATGGCGGAGGCGGCCCCGGCCACTCCTTCCCCCCTCCCCGACCCTCCGCGCCCCTCAGGAACCGAACCGAACCGAGCCCGCTGACACGGGAAAGGCTTTAATGCGAGTTTCCCCCCCGGCTCAAACCGTACAGCTCGTTAAAACCCCGATCACCGAACCGGCACGAGGAAAAAGACACAACAAAATAAGTGAGGGGGGAAAAAAATCCCCAACAAACCAAACACCGACTGCTGAATAAATACATAATACACATTTTTGGACATCTCAACGATTGGCGTATCAATCCCTTCGTTTGGTAACAGGCAGCTCTGGCTTTCACCTAACAGGTTTTATTACAGTTTTATTTCTCAAATGATCGCCCCCTGCTCGGATATTTCTCCCTCAGGCACCTCTGTGTGTGTGGCCTCAAAAATAGACCTAAAAAGCTCGTGGAAAGCGGTGGGAAAAGGTCTGTGTCACCTTCCTCAGGCACATTCCAGGTGCAGGCAGTTCCCTGCCAGAACTTACACGTGTAAAGCTGTTCTGCCCACATTAACGGGACCCGTCCCAGAGGAATCACAATCAGACAGCAGAAGTTGCAGACACAGACAATGAGGAGGAAGGTGATTTTTTTTTTCCCCTTTAAGGACAATCATCACGTGAATTTACTGCTTGTGAAACGCACTAGTCTGGCAGAGCCAGAGCATAACGGTGTGGGATAAGCAGAGCAGGGAGCTCACAGGCACAGGCAGGAAAGGTTTCTCCTCTTCCCTCTCTAACCATGGTGCTTCTCTTGATAGGTTTTTACACCTGTCAGTTCACCACAATCTCTCAGCACTTCCCAACCACTCGTTTCTATCAGCCTCGACCCCACTGGAGAAGTGTCTGCAGTGGAGTGTTTTGGTTTGCAATCTTAAATAATAGAAACACGGAGTAATTATTTCCTCCAAGAACCAGAGGACAGCTCTTTACACCTAATGTGAATAGGCCATCAAAGAAAACGATTAAAACAATCTCTGACACTTGGAATGAGGCCACCAAACACCACTGGAACCTCTGGGATGTTATCCAGAGACTGATCAGAGGTTTTGACAATCTTAACATGGTAAAGAACAGAGACAATTCCACAGTGAAGCCCTTCTGACTGATGTAGTTGTTCCCAGACTTCCCTTTCTTAGATCTGATCTTCACAGACTGAGATGGTCTGAATTTGTGTGGGTATCTCTGCAGAAACAGAAGGTTGGGAGGCTGTCTTATCTTTTCAGTCTAATCCCAGAGGTAAAGCATCATTAGAGGACCTTCCTTTAGCTGACCAGAAGCACCTAGATTGCCACTGCTGCTACTTTGAATTTTGTGATAGGCTTGCAAGGACTGCAAAGAGGTAAAGGAATCAGATGATCTTCAGGCTCTTACTGCTGAGTTTCATCTGGTGTGACATTTAACTGTTATGACTTCTGGAGTCAGCTCCCTGATTGATTTGTATCTGGCATAGTGTCCAGGCATTATTGTCTAACATCCAGTCCTGTATATGCTGTGGATGAAAACAGGCTTCCAGCTTGTGACTTGCCTCCAAAAGCTGGATTTCCAGTCCAGGAAAGCATTTTTTAAAGCCAACCATTCCATGATAGAAGGTTCAAGTAAATGGCACTTCCAAGAAACAGTGGATGAGGAGCAGAATCAAAAATGAAGGCACAAAATCTCCTTTGGAATTCTACAGCAATATTCCTAGATATTACCTGCAGTATCAGAGAGGGAGATCTTCTAGTAGTGGAGTCTTAAAATACCATTCAAAATCAATATCCAAACAGCTTTGAACAATGCCTTAGAAACTCTCAGCAGCATTCCCTGTTTCCATTCAAGAGTCAGCAGCGAGCAGGGCCCTTCCTGGGAAGCAACGCTCTAGGGGTCCAGAAAGGACACTGCGATGTACCGGGTGCCTTTGGTGGTTGGGAGCCCTTCGTGGTAGTGGGTCAGGCGTCCCGGGTGCATGAGGGTCCATCCTTTCCGGGGAGCTCGGATGGAGCAGTTGTAGCGCAGGAACCGGCAGCCTCCTCCCTGAAGGCGACACGAGAGACAAGTCAGCTTGGAAAAAGCACCTCAGGGGAAGGGCCTCTGCCTTCTCCTGGCAGCCCTGCTAAAAGTGTGAGAGGGTGCTTGGGGAATCCCCTGTGTTCTGATGCATTCAGAATTCTCCTTCCTACCCTAGCCCAGTCAAACATTGTGATCCTTAGAGTGAAGAAGCCAGATGTGGATAAGGAAAGTGTTTTCAGCTGCCTGGACTGCTCCAGAGGCTGTGCTGCACTCCTGACCCACTGGCACTCACCTCATAGTCTATCCCAACTCGGTTCAGGGCAATGTTGATGGTGAAGGTGGAGGCGTCGTGGTGGGGCATCAGGGACGGCTGCTCGTCGGGTTTGTAGCGAACCACGAAGGCCAATTCAAACTGAGTCTGAGCAGAGCAGAACAAAGGGCACTGTGTTACAGGGCTACAGTGGTCCTTGGCTACTGAGCTGCAGAGCAGAGTGTAACACTGACACTGCATTCCACTGCTAAGGGAGAAAGGCAGCGACCAGGCAGGAGAATGCCACTGGGAAATTGCATTATTTCCTAACATTCATACTTATGTCACACTCCACAGTCAGTCACTCCACACTAGGAAATAGTATGGGTATTCCTAGAGGATTCTGGCAGCCTTTGCACAAAGCTGCAACTGCAAGAGGTACTGAGCTGACCAGTTTTGATGCTCAGGGGCACATACCTTGGTGTAGTATCCTGGGTACAGTTTCTCTGTGATGGGTGCAATATAGTCCAGAAGAAACTTATACCATTCTCTTTCAAAGCCAATTTGGTTCATGTGTATGTCAATAGTTGGGACATTCTCATATCCTCCTTGTATTCTGCTGTCCTGAAATAGAATCACAGAAATACCCATAAGGATGGGAACCCTGGAGTTCAGGAATGAAAAGCACTTGTTTCTGGTAACTACAAATAAATATGATGTTTATTTATCACAATTTGCAGGATGGAAAATTCATTTCAGACAATAATTAAAACCTAAGGGAAACAGTATTGCCATCATAAAGGCTGAACACTGTATCTTCAGAGGACACTGAAGAGGACTCAAAAATTAATTCCCTTTTAAGAACAAAATTAAGGTGTTGTCTCCAGTTTCCTGGTTTAACTGTGGGATCTAATGACTTCCCAGAGGAGGCACAACTGCCACCAAATATGCATAGATAAAAGCAGAACTCAAAGAGCTCCTGCTTTACTTACTGTGTTGTCACCTGTGGACCACTGGCCATAGTGCTCCATTTCTTCCACCAGCTCATCACAGGCAGTGTCAGTGAATATGGGGAACCAGTAAACATCTGGGCAGGGCTGCAGAAAGCAAACAGGTGAGAACAGCAGAAACAAGGACAGGGCTTGAGGCAAAAGGAGTAAGGCTAAGCTGAGTGCAGACTGAGTCAGTTCAAGCGGAAAGAGACTGAAATATTGAGGATAGAAATTTGTCTTCTGATTTATGTGCCCCACTTCCACTTAAGAGAGCTGGAGATGTACTTCTAGGAGAAGGATTTGGCTCTAAAAATACTTTCAAGGTCACACTCCCTCTGCTGTTCTGCTTCTTCCTGAGAATGACAGTAGTGATGATACAAGCATTGTCCTGATGTTGATCTCCCCTGGTGATGGATAAGAGTGATGTTTTCTTACCATTTCTACCAATTTCCCCTTCAGAGCTGCTGTGTAGTTTTCATGGATGTACTTTTCTTTCCAGTCCTGCAGTCAGAAGATAAGCAAACCAGTCATTTCTGTGGGGCCTGCTTCAAGAGGCAGTGAAAGGCCAGGCACTCATACAGTATTCCCAGGCTTTGAAGAATCCAGGTGCTATGAATCTCATAAACACCCCCTCTTTAAATTCTGTGACTACTCCTCATGCCACCTGAGAGAAATTGTTATTACAAAGCCTGGACCTCTCGTGAAGCAAATCAGCAGATATTCCCATTCCACAGTGCTGTGCCTGCTGAGCATGCAGGTTGTCTCACCTCAGGATTGCTGAATATTTGCCAGAGGTCGTTGTGGAGGTGAGTTGTCTGGTAATTCTCCAGGGACAGGATGTGTCCAAACTGGTGCCGGTTTGTCAGGTACATAAAGACTCCCTGTAGGACAGGGAAAAGCTGTCAAGGCCTCGCATTTCTCTGAGCCACCATGAAATATAAGCACTGACAGTTCTCCAAGCTGTTAATTTACTCATTCTTTCTGCTGTGGGCCTTCAGTTAAATCACCACCCTGGATATGAGGAGCTCTGAAAGGCTATAGCCAGAGACAGTAATTCTGGCTCTTGTCAGCCAGGGCTGGAAGCAGAGCAGAATAGCTGCTGTGAGATTAGGTTCTTCCTTCTTACCGTGTCATTCCCACTTAGAACAGCCCTGAACAGGCCCGACAACAAAAATGTTCCCCACATTTAGTGGTCCCTGGCTCCGTGTGGTTTCACAGCAGGACAGAAATCCCCTGCTGTTCCAAAGTCTGCCCAGTACTGACCAGTGCCAGTTCCCCTCGTCCCTCACCCAGCAGGGCTGAATGCTTTGCAACTCCTTAATCTTGCACCCTCCACCCTGGCACGCAGCTCTCCCTGCCAGCCCCTCTCCTGGACTGACCCGATTCCGGACGTTGTTGCAGAAAGCCATGTCAGCATCCAGTTTGCCACTGTGGAAAAGATCCCCCTGGTCGAGCTCCGAGCGCAGCGCCTTGGCTTTGACCATGTAAACACTGCTGATGTAGGGGACGTTCCAAAGCCCCCTGAAACACAGGGAAAACACAGTGAGACCTGAAATACCCCCAAGAAACTGCTGGACTTGACAGGATGGCAGACAAAACTGCAGCATCAGCCAGACTTGCCTAAACGAGCAAACCATACCAACAGGGATTGTCATTCCAGAAAAAAATTGCTTATATTGCTCGGAGCTTTTAAGCTGCACAAATTCTAGCCCACTGTGAAAGCAATTAATTGCTACTGTGTGCTTTCGCTGGGGACATAATTAATGGCTTGAATCTCTTCCCAGAGAGATCAACATATTTTTTTCCAGTGATTTAAAGAAACTGAACCGGCCAAAAGGGTCTAAGCTGATTTCTAGCATGTATTGCACATATAATGGCCTAAAAGGGCCCCTCAAGAATATGAATGAATCAACAATTCTGTTTTGTGAATATTCCATTCAAGGATCACGTGGTATTTTATGAAGATTTATCTGAAAGGGATTAAACAGCACTTTACAGGATTGCAGGGATCACACTAACCATAATCCATAGGTGGGAAAACATGACATGAGTAAAATGAAGTGATTTCAGCAGAGTCAGGACTCTCAAATCCTCGCTCTGATCATAAGAAATCTCATTGTCTCTGCTCAGGGGAGAACACAGAGCAGCTTCCAAACAGGAGCAGACACTTCCTTTCCTACACACACACACAGCCAGTTGTGCTCTCTGGTTCTTTGACAGCAGCCAGTTTGATGATCATGTGCAGCAGCAGGCTTTGCATCTGAGGGATTACATCAGGGAAAAGCTCTTTGCATACTCACACCCTCCGCCTCTGAACAATATCCACGTAATCTTCCGAGCGGGCATAGTATCCATCAGGGCTCAGAGCTCCCCAGAAATTGGACCACAGCTTCTCATGCCGGCTCACCAGAGGGGCAATCACCAGCCTGGCAGCGTGAAAGGGACAGCAATTGCAGGATGGGATGTTACCACAAGAAGAAAAGGAAAATATTTACAAACCACAGGACTGTAACAGATATATTCGCCCTCGCTTGCAGAGCTGGTGTTTCATTAACTCTCTTGGAATAAAATTCCACATCAGAAAGGGCAAATATGGTCCCAATCTCCTCTCTAACTGCACCCTGCACCACATCTGTTAGAATCTGATTTGTTCTACTGACTACATAAAGACAAACATGAGGATGTTTTACATTCCTTGCCTAAAATCCAGGGATTACAATTATAATGTAAAAAAACCCCACACCTAAGAGGTGTTTGTCTAACATTCCATCTGTGACACAGTTCTCCTGGTGCTTTACACACCTCAGTGATAAAAGAGCTCACAGTATTCCTGGTGTGAGATGACCAGTTAGGATTGCTCAGACCAAAGAACTCACTTGTTCTGCTCGATCAGGATCCTCAGAGTCTCTGTGTTCTTCAGAACTACCTCAGCATCCAGGCTAAAGTAATAGTCACAGTCAGGATCCTTCCTGCACAAATCCCTACAGCCAGAGAGGAGGAAAGTCACACCAAAATCCTCTTCAAACAGAGCAAGACAATGGACAGAACACAGGAATTCCTTCAGCTTGTAGTCTAAAGGTGTTCTGGGTGTTCAGAAAAGTTCAATTTAATGTAACAACCCAGAGGACCAGCAGAGCACAAGCACATCAGACTCAGTATCCAACAGCAGACAGACACGCAGCCAAAATCACATTTACCACACTGTTTCCTCAGCACAAATTGGAGAGGTTCCCATTTACAGCTGGCCCAAATCCACACCAGAGCTCAAGTATCTCCTGGTCACAGATAGGAAGATACTCTTCCACTAGCTCTTAGTTTTACTCCTACACTCCTCCTCTCCAGAGATATAGGGGCATATTTTTTGTGATCTATGGCTGGGCATGTAGATGATGGTGGGAGATACAAGATTATCCTTCTGCCAGAGCAAAGGACCAGTGAGAACTTAGTTTCTGGAAGTGGAGAAATAAAGCTGGTATCAAAGTTGATTTTTTTTTTCCAATATGTAAGGGCATGGGAGTTAAAATGCTAGCAAAACTGAAAGAAAAGGGTGACTGGAAAAAGAAAAGCAATCACTTGACAGGGATGATCCTCAGAAAAAAAAACAAATATCTTAGTTTGGACAGGGGCTGACTCTGCCAGCCATCACAGAATCACACATGGCCTCTTCACTTACATGCCCAAGTTCCGTGCCTCAGCGTTCTCCACCTCATCATCTGGCCCCATCACCTTGACAGCGAGATATTCTCTGCCATGCTCTTCTACAAAAGAGTCCACCTCCATCAAGTGATGTTCCTCCTATGCCAAAAATAAGGCAAAATGGGTAAGACAGGCTCATCCCAGGCCCCTCAGCCTCCTCTCCTTGAAAATGCCAAAGCAGATGGGCAACAGCTCTTCCCACTTCCATATCCTTACAGCTGGACAGAGCTATCTTACAGGTGCCATTGCAGATAACTACTGGCATTGCAGAGGCTGGAAGTCTAGCCCAAGGTTACAAAGGTGCCTTAGAGCACAGGGAAGGTGCACATTTTCCCCACATCTGCTAAGCTAAGACCATCACAGGCCGTCTTCACTTACATTGTTGTGAATGAAGAGCTGGATTCGTTGCTTCGGGTAATGGAGGTTACGAAGGCGCAAGAAAAACTGGGAGAGGAAGGGGGTGGGCTGCTCGATGAAAATGCCGATCAGGATCATTGGCAATGCCTCATCCTGCATTCAGAGAGGAGAGGAGGGAAGTGGTGACTCGAGTTCCACATCAGATCCCATTGTAAGACTTGTCTTTAAAGCTCTGAACAGACACATCAGCCTTACCTTAAAGCCCGTGAGGCTTCGCAGACCTTCGTCACACACGGTGCAGCCCGTCTCAAATGTCCATATTTGGGGAATGTAGTTTCCCAGGTAGTTCAGCTGCAGCTGCAAAAGGACAGTTTGCCATATTTTGCTTTACAGGGTAGGGGAGTTTCTTTTTGTGCACCCCTACCGTAAGATCACATTTCAACTCCATTTACCTTCTCCAGGAACTAAAGAATCTGAAGCACAACAGCCTGAGGGTCCAATTACACATGGGTCATTGAACCAGACCTGGACTTGCCATGGACCTGGACCACTTATTGTTTCTCAGATACAATGGACACAGGGAAGGTCAATAAATGTGAAGGCAGTAACCAGATCCATCAAGTCTAAAGGGTCACTTTGCAACAAACAAACACACACCAAATCTTTCTCTCAAGAGGTCCACTTACCTTGGTGGGTCCATTTCCATGAATCACCACGGGCAGAGTGTCATATAATAAGTTTCTTGCTCTCACTCGTGAGTTTTCAAACTTCAGAACTATCTCATCTGGAAATGACATCGCCAGCATGTTAATGCTTTCGCTGATAATTAGCAGCACAATCCCTCATTTCTACTGAGAAACTGCTGAAAGATGAAAGCCTGGACATGGATATCTGTGTACAGGTAGTTTAAGGGCTACAGACCATAACTAGAAAGAAGGAAAAAGTGTTCAGAGTGATCCTGTGAGCTACAGGATGGCTGGGAAGTTGGACAATGATGCATCTTTGCATTACAATCAGTGACTGCTCCCAGGCCCCCATGGCTGCCTCTCACCTCCCCTGGCATTCCAGCAGGGTTCTGAAGCGGAAAGACAGGCAAGCCCTGGGCAGGGCTGTGTGTTATTACTTGCACTGGAAGTCCCTCCCAGTTTCAATCCCCAAGGCTAATGCCACCCGACATGCCTGGAGATCAAAGTGGCAAGGAGGTGTAAGATGAAAAACCTGACCTGCATTCCCTCAAGTGGAGAAGGAGTTGCAGTGAGAACCCAGTGGAATTGCAAACAAATACCACAACTCTGGCAGAGGCTTTTCCTGAAGCTTATTCTGCAGGGACAGGCATTTCTGAAATACAATCCCTTCAGCCACAACTTTATTTCTGGTGTCAACATGCAGTTTCATTCCAAGGAGAAATGACCTTCCCTCTTCCCTCTCACCTAATGCTCCATTTAGGTTTTGGAAGATCCGGCTTCTTTGGTCTAAACTGATGTTGATACTTTCCTTTAGGAGAATAAGACAAATAACCTTAATTAGAACACAGGGGGGCATCCATCCATTCTTTACATGCTGAGCAAAGATATATCCCATTCCTATAATCATTTGCAAACTCTCCAAGCTCTGAAATCAAAAACACTCCCAGATAATCCTCATTTTCACTCGAATCTGGGACAATTCATCATTTTCTAAAACAATTTGAATATATTCTATTAGGTAAAACTATGAAAAAAAAAAAAGAAAGAAAGGCATTTTAAAGCTGCTGTGGGTATATCAATAAATCTCCAGCATATGAATGAAGTACACCTGCACACAGCTATATAAACCCCAGAGGTAACACACAGGAGTGCCAAGATAGCAAAACCATCTGCTGTGGAGAGTTTCTTGCCATCTATCCATAGGACAAGTGTTACCCAAGCGTTGCCCCAGGTACCAGTGCCAAACCAGAGCACAGTAGGGTGCAAGGCCAGCTTGTGCAACCTTTGTTTTTATCCCCTGCTGCAAGTCACCCTCTGACTGGGTCAGACTAAAATGCAGCTCTGACTTAACAGAGTTCCATGTCCCTGCAGGCATCCATTAAGACTGATTACTGGGAAGGACAGCAGGGTGCTAACATCCACTGTCTGAATGCCAAGGCAGGGGAATTACTCAGCCCTTGCAGGGCACAGGGCCAGGACTGCAGATGAGAACATTAAAGGAACTGTTCATGGTAAATTATCACAGCCCATACTCAGCTTTAGGGAACTAAAAAAGTCCAGCTGCTCTGAATGTTCTACCAGCCCTGCTGATTAAAAAAACCTGCAATTCTTTCTCTAGTCAGTGTGAAAGCAGTTCCTCAATACAAATGTTTCCTCTTGTTTGTGAATTGCTGTTACAGTTTGAGTTCTTATTTCCTGTGCATTTGTGGTGTCTCAGGGACAGACTGGCCTGTGTGATGCACAACTGGGCAGGGACAGCAGACCCAGAATGACCTGTGGGCTGGGTGCTTCAGCCAGTGCTGGAATAGCAGTGCTGCTTCCAGGGTCCCATGGTGTCACATGGCATTTACCTATAATGTGCTTCAGTGCTAGCTTGGATATCTCTAAGTCAGCACTGGTTTCACAGCCCCTGGGAGGATGAGCTTCCAGTCATGGAAATTTCAAGTCATCTCTTTTCCCATTCACATTTTAAGCTTAAAGATAAAAACTGCTAATAACAGAAATGGGGATACCGGCTAGAATGCAAATTTTCAGACTCTCAGGATCTATATACACCTACTCTTTTTTCTGGATCTAAGAAGATATTTGTGTAGAAGAGCTGGTCACTGTCATCATCCTCTCCTTTCCACTCCTCCACAAGCTTCTTCAGGTTTGGAGCATAACCTATGAAGCCTGTGGGAATAAAATATGAAGAGGTGTTTCATCCCAGATGACCAAAAAATGGAATAACTCCTGTATATCTGCACTCCCACTTCTCTCACATGAAATCTCACTACACCCTGTGTTGCTGCAGAGATACACCAGCTATTAGTTTGTTCACCACTTCTCCCAAGGGGCCAAATAGGAGAAGAAAAGCTGAAAGAGGTTCTCAGCTCTGTGTCTCACCTCCAGAACCCAGGAAGCGCTTTCCATCTCGCACCTGAGGGTACTTGGCTTCCAACTTTCTGTCGGGGTAGATGTAGTTCTCTGCTGAGAAAACCACCTTGCTCTTGGCTTGTTTGAACTTCTTCAGCAGTTCTGGGGGGCCCGAAGCAAAGAGCACGTCATAGCTAGAGAAAGAGGAGGACAAAAAGGGACAAAAAGGAAGGGAGACAGAAAAACATGTCCGTGAGAAAAGTTTCTAGAAACAGCTAATTCTTGGGGAATCCCTTTCTTTTAGTTCTGCTTCACAGTATTACATTTTCTGTGAAGTAACTGTAATTACAGAGGAGTCTTATTCATATGCTGGGCATATGAAAAGACACTGAGACTCCAAACTGTCCTTCTCCCTCTTGACTTTTCTCTGGCAGACCAGTTCTTGGCTCTCAGCATTGTGCTGCAGCCTACCTCACCTTATAAAACAAATAATTCTGGTAAGAAAGGCCTGCCTGGTTCCAGAGGAATTGTCTGCTCATTCTCTGCAGATACAGGCAGCCAAATTCCACCGTGGCAGAATCAGGTACAACACTATCAGGCAAGAGCTGGAACCAGCCTATTCTGATGAGACCTTCCCAAGTGCCACGGATGCAGCTCTAAGTGATTCTCAAGCAACTATAGAGAATTCAGAGGGGAAAAAACCAGAGGTCTGGACACTTTTCAAAAGCAGTCTAATTCACAGTTCACTTCCTGTCCAAACAGCCTTATGATTCAGACCATGGCAAGTTCTTTCCAACCATTACCTGTCTACAAAAAGGATGATCAGATCCTCCTTATCCCCAAACTTCTTCAGAGCTGCTTTCAGGAGCCGGACCTTCTGCCCCCCTCCAGCTGGATTCTGGTCATCTCCACCCTGCCACTCCTCATCCAGCCCCAGCACCTACACAGCGACAGGCACAGGGTCACCTGAACAGGGCAAGCTCACAGGAAAGGGTCTGAACCCACAACCTGACCAGTGCTGATAACTCCCAGTGCAAATCACAGCAAAAACAACAGCCCCAGACAAATGGACTATGGATCTCATCCCAAGCCAGCACTCAGGATGGAATAACAGACTGCTGCAGAAATGCCCCACTCCCAGTGGTTTTTTCAGCCAGTTGAGTAGGTGTGTCCTCTCTTGAGCTTCTCCATTCCACAATTCAAAACTCCCTTTGACCAACCCCCTGGACATCACCTGGACTTTGTAGTTGAAGAACTGGGCTGATCTTCTGAAGCGCTGGAACCCCTCAGTCTGCTCGGTGGCAACGGTCAGAACCAGCAGGTTTTCTGCCCAGGGGGGAAAGCACAAGAGACACATTCAGCTTGTGCTGTTTCCACAACCAGCTGCTTCACACCTAACTTGATCCTGGGTATAAAATGAGAGATTATGGAAGGATACAATTTCACTGCCTGAGCCAGCAGCTAGAAAAAGAAAATAAAAAGTAGTAAGTGGTTTTTTTTTTGCCTGGTAATGAAAGCTACAATTCTTTTCTCTCACACAGTGTATGAAGGAAATTAAAATTGAAGATAAAAAATAGAACTATACAAAATGCCCATTTGGAAGTCATCCATTAAGTGCAGTATTGGTTTCCTGTTCCCCACAGAGCTGCTTTTTTGTCACTCAGCATTGACTGGGTGTAGGCAAAACCAAAATTAGCCCTGAATGTTATTATTCCCTCTCTATGGCTGCTCCAATTTTCTACTGCATTCCTGAGGTGTTTTCCGGAGTTTTTCCTACATATTCAATGTGAATTTAATTGTGCTATAACTTTCATTTGCATTCTCCTCCCGAACTTGCTTTTCATTTCCAGCCCCTTAAAAAAATGACAAAGCGAAATCCTGAAGTTCTCTTTCAGAAGTTTCTCTGTGGTACCACTGGAAGGTGATTTTTATGGGGAAGTTCTGGTTTCCTCATTGCAATGCTGGAATGCTATACTTCCCCCAGTAGGAATTTGTATAGGTTCTGGCAACGGGTGCTTCAATGCAAATCCTGCCCATCCCATTTAAACATCAAAAAATACCAGGAAAATTTGAAAGCACATTTTCTTGGCCTCAGCAGGCTCTTTTTGGAACAATGATTTTTTTTTTTTTTTCAATGGATGTACCAGATGTATCTTCCTAATGTACCCAAACTGATATTCTGGCTGGTCTTAGAGAGGAAGGATTTAGGAGCTGGAGTTATGGATGGACCTGGGAAAGGCAGCAAAAGTGAAAAATGAGTGCAAGAAGACTCCACATTAAGAAGAAAGAGGATATTCCCCAAATCCTTTACCTGCATCAAAATAAAAAGAGAGGAGATTGAGAACAGTCAATAGGTCAGCTCTAATTGTATTTTGTTAGACATGCTCACAAAGGAAGTGATAAATAAAAGAACAAGAATCCTGCACTGGTGCAGGTTTTTAGACACATGAAGTGCATTCCTAATCCAGCTCCTCCAGCACACTCCAGTCCCTGACAGAGGGTGCAAACAAATGAGTAAAATATGTATGTCCTCAGGGAATATGCTAAAGCCATTACAGTTTCTAGCCATGCAGAAAGCCATGGCAGCTTTATGAGAGCTCTGAGCTCGTGGCTTCTGAGAAGGTGAGGATCATACTGCCAAGAAAAAGGGGGGAAAACATGGGCTTGCCAGAGAGGAATGTCAAGGCAAGCCTTAAATTCTAGTACCCGAGGGGAGAAAGCATATGATAATGATAAAAGAAGGAAAGAAAGACAGGACCCTGACTGCTAGGCAATTATTTCAGCCTCAAATCTAAGGCATCTCCCATTAAATAAATCACTAATTCATTTTCAGGCCGCCACCCCGAGAAAGCCACACACTGTTTATGGTCTGACTGCCAGAAGTTTGCTGGACACGACTGAAGGCTGCACAGATGCACAGGAAGTGGTGTCCTATTTCCAAGGCAGAAAAGGTCCCTCCGTGCAGTTTGTGAGCTCAGAGGAGCACGAAAAGCCAGCACAGACAATTGTCATCCCCAGCAGAATTCCAAGTTACAGATTCCCTTCTCATTCCTGGTCTGTGGGGTAGGACTCTGGGAGACACTCAGCTCAGCCTCTGTTCTGAGAGCTCTGGAGTAGCGAGAGCTTTCCATCCCCAGAGACATTCCTTCAGCCCAGCACTGGAAGCTTGTGCTCAGCTATGCTGCCTCCCCTCCTTCTCCTTTAACCCTTTTTTCTCTTTCCCAGAGGTTTTGCTGAACACTGGCGCAGCTGATGGGCACTTCCAGGGACGGAACTTTTACTTTCAGTATCGCATGCAGGCTTTTTAAAACATCCTAAAGCAGAGTGACACTTCCCTCTTTCCCATGTCACAGTCACTTTCCACATGTAGGAATGGCAGCCTGTTCAGCTAAGCTGGGCCTGCTGGGCCCAAAGGCTCCCTGGGCCACGCTGACAACTAAAAATCATGTAAATAGATTTAATAATGGGATGGATGAAACATTAAACACAGGGTGGTTAACGAAGCAAGCACTGGATTAGGAACCAGGGGAGTTGCACTCTACTGCCAGCTCTGCTTTGCAACAAGGAGCCAATCCAGCTACCCCTCTGTTCTTCCATATGTGGAACAATAATAGAAGATATTTACCACTTTTGTAGGTGAAAAGTATCCTGTAAGGACAAAGCACTAGAACAGGAACTCTGATGTCCAGATCACAGTGAAAAGGCTGTGAAAACTTCTCAGCTTTTATAAAGATTAAAAATCAGTGACGAGTTCAGTAACAAAACAGTAAATTTAAAGTTATTTACTTCAGCCCTGAGTCGACAGGGAAAGCACAGCTGCAGCTGCATTTTAGGACAAGAAATGAATTTATCCCTAGGCTGTGCTTTGGGAAATCTTACTGTGCCACTTCCTGTTAAGATAGTGTCCAAGAAAACACCATTAATATGGAGATCAACTAGAAAAAAAATCAGTGTACAATTTAATAGTGGATAATATAATCTCTGTATTAAATTTACTTTACAGAAGTATTTTTTAAAGATTCGACTAACTATAAATAACTATGCTTAGAGCTCTTATAGAGATCTAAAAGAACATCCAAGAGAGCAGACAGATATCATTACTCACATTACCCTGGGGAACCTGAGGCACAACAAAGGTGAAGCATTTTTTTCTTTGAACCACGCCAGAAGTGATGAGTTCAGAAAGCAGTTAATTCTAAATCTCTCTTCCTAACCAGCATATCTCATTCTCTTTCCTAGCCCCCAGTTTTATCTCTAGTGCACTCTGAAACCTTACCAAAACCATGGAAGACTCAGGATGTGTAAGGAAGGCAGGATAGCACAGAGAGATTCTTTGTTTCAGTGATGCCACTATAGTTAAAGAACTCCCAGCATTCCCATGGATACACAACTAACTGCATTAAGTAATAGATGTATAGTAAAGGTAATTACACCAGAATCACACTGTGAAGGGAAATATTCTAGGTAACAAGATTAAATCTCCTCCTAATTGCCACTTCTCTAATGAAGACAGAGATAATTATCCCAACTCTTGGCAGAGTGACAGTGTGTGAAGCCCTTTGTCAGTGCTGCTGACACACTGTAGCTGCCCTAATCCTCTGCCCTTCTACCAACTACTCCAGAGCTTCTCCCAACTGATGTTATTTTAGGAGCATCCCGGATCTTGAGTCACAGTGCGGAACACTCAGGGATCAAAAGCTCTCCCGTTACCTTGTTCTTGAACCGTCTAAGTTCAAAAGGAGGGAGGGCTGACCCAGGTGGGACGCAACCCACGGGACTGAGAGTCTTTAACCGGGATGCCCGGGTGTGCAGGGCTGAGTCCCCCAGCCGGGTGTGCAGGGCTGAGTCCCCCAGCCGGGAGCGCCTCGGGACCCGGCGGGAGGCTCGAGATGCCGCCCAGGGACTCAGCCTGGCGGCTGCACCGCGGGGCTGTGCCCGTCCCTCAGCCCTTTCGCCGGACCCCCCGCGCTCTCCGAGCCCCCCTTACCTTCCTGCGGCGAGGCACGGCCGCCCCCCGCCCCGAGCAGCGCCAGCACCGCCCAGGGCAGCAGCACCGCCGGCAGCACCATGGAAGCGACTTCCCCGCCCGGACCCCGCGCCGGGAGCCCCCACCAGAGCGCGGGCGATGCCTGCGGGACGGAGCGGGCGGCTCCGCGAGGCTCCGGGGCTGCCGGAGCTGTGCCACGCACCAGACCCGCCCGGCGGGGACGGGCGGAGGAAGCGGGAGGAGGCGGCTCCTCCTCCCGGGCCGCCCCGGCCCCCGCAAGAGGCGGGCGGGCTGCTGGGGCCGGGCTGGGAGCGGGGCGGGGAGCGCTGGGGCCCGGCGGGAGGAGAGGGAGCACCGGCACTGGGAGCTGGGGGGGATTGATCCCGGAGCTGCGGGGCTGTACCCGGGCAGCGGGAGGGGTACCCCGGCCGTGGGACACCCGGGAAGAAAGAGGCACCGAGCAAACGCGGAGGAGGAGAGGGGTCACTGTCCGGGCAGCTTCAGCTGGTGCTGGGCTGCAGCTGGCTGACACGGGCATTTATGTGGGAAAACCAAACCATGAATCGATTGTAACGTTAAGCACATCTCTGGAAACTGGAAGCCTTATTAAATATCATCTTCCCGCCTTTTTCCCACCTGTTGCCTCCCATTTTTCCTTGGTGAACACAAGACCTGCAGTGGTTTTGTTCCCTCCACTGACTGGTTTTCTCTGGCCGTACACAGGTCTTTAAGTCTTCTATCTATCTCTGTGGCCTTGTGCTGTGTTTTCTTGCTCTAGCCCTGATAACTTATCTAGGCATCTTTCTCTAGTTCATTCTGCCTCAACTTAAGAACAGGCAAATAATCCTGTTTTATAAAACTACACTTTTTTAACAAACATTTGCTTTAGGGTCACTTTTACAGTGCAGTGAGTGTAGGAGATGTAGGAAAATGCTTTAGAGCCTGAGGATCTACCACTGACACAGACCTTACATGAGGCCTGTCAGCAAACCAGCTCTTTAAATTAACAGAAATCACAGATATCACAGGATCTGGATTTTCAAACAAAACCAAGAAGGTATGTTCTTAGAGGAGAAAAAATAAAGCACACCAGAAAGGCCAGACTGTAGCTAATGAATATTCTCTGTGCTTCATAACAGCATCATCCCAAAGAACTCCCACTACTATTTGTTCGCTGGGAATATTCTTGGGTATGTTCAAAGCACTTTTCCTTCCATTCCCTCTCCCCAAAGTAGTAATTCTCTCATAATTACCAGGCAAACAGAATGGTCCTCATGCTCAAGTGATGTGCTACAGTGCAACAACCCAAGGAAATATTAGTTCTCTCTGAAACAGTGATTTCAGGAAACTTCTTTTTCCCTAAATAAAAATAAATAATTAATTTTTAAAAAAAGAAAAATATTAAGAAAACAGACTTTCACTTTAGATTTCTTCAGTACTTTGCAGGCCCTGATAAATCTGTAGCAGCTTCAACACTTTAAGCCAGGACCCACAGCAAAGATGTTCAGTACGTCCCCTTCAGACCTCAGACTGAGAGCTGGGACTCAAGACAGGGTTTCAAAACTGCAAGTCTCTCATTTTGAAGAAGTTAAATCTCTCCAGGCTGAAATGAAAGCGGTTTTGCACACTGGAAATCATGAATGCCTCATTGTTTGTGCCGCTGTGCCCAGCCTGTCGCTGTGTGTGACAGCTCTGTTTGCATTCTGCAGCTCTGCCAGCTCAGCGAGCACATTTCGTTTCCCCCCTCTGTGTTTGCACTGCTCTGTGCTCTCGGGCTGCAGTCGGTGCCTGTCTTTTTAAGCAGAGCCAGCTGCCAGTGCAGATGTTCCATGAGTACGTGCAACACGTGCTCCAGGCGGAGCAGCAACTTCCCAAAAACTGGAAGGCTCAGAGCTCCGCTTTTTTTTTTGTGCAGCCTCAAAACACAGCGGGGCTTCTGAGGCAGCACCAGCCCCACCGAAACCTCTCACCCACCCTTTTGGGATTCCAGTGCCCCTCCCAAAATCAAACAGGATTTTGCGGGAATATTCATTTCCATTCATTCAAACATTCATTAAAATACTCATTTGCAGGAATAAATGAAGAAAGTGTCTCCTCCGTTCCCTTCACCGAGCTGGTTCACTGGCTCGACCCGGTCGGGAATTTCACACTTTTAAGTCACAGCGTTTGTCTGACTTGCTCGAAACTGCGTGTCTTCTTGTGCCTCCGGAGCGCTGCGCGGGATGAAAAAGCTTTCCCGTGCTCATCTCAGTCACATCGCAAAGTTCGTTCCTCTATTTACTGCGGGGTGTGACAGAACATGACTCGCTTTCCCGCACGGTCTCTGCCGCGGTAACGGCAGTGAATGACACTGGAATGACGGAAATCCCCTCCAGGCCTTTTCCATCGGTGCAGTGACCCGGGCGGAGACAGAGCACAGAACATCAAACCCTGGGCTGGAGCTGCCCGAGGACACCCGCGGATATCGCACCGGGAGCGGGGCAGGCGGGGGAAATCCGGGATCGGGGGACACCCGGAGCCGGGAAGGGTTCCCGGTGCCGAGGGGCTCCAGGAGCCGGGGGGGTCCCAGTGCTGGGAGGGGGTCCGGGAGCCAGGAGGGCTCAGGGCCGGGAGGGGGGATTGTCCCGGAGCCGGGGAGGGGTCCGGGTGCCAGGAGGGGTTGGTGTCGGGGGGTTCCCGGTGCCGGGGGGTCCCGGTATCGGGGGGATTGTCCCGGTGTCGGGGGGGGTCCCGGTATCGGGGGGACTGTCCCGGTGCCGGGGGGACTGTCCCGGTGTCGGGGGGGAGGGTCCCGGTCCCGGTGTTCGGGGGGTCCCGGCGGGGCCGGCCCGGCTCCCTCTCCCTCCCCGCCCTCCCCGAGTGGGCGGTGCAGCGCGGCCGTCGCAAAAGCGCCGCGAAAGCGCCGCCAAGCGCGGTGGTGGCGGTGATGGCGGCCTAGGCCCGGTGCGGCGGGGCCGGCGCTCCCCGCCGGGGCTCCCCATGTGGCTGCAGCAGCGCCTCAAGGGGCTGCCGGGGCTGCTCTCCAGCAGCTGGGCGCGGCGCCTGCTGCTGCTGCTGGCGGTGCTGCTGGTCGCCTACTGGTACCTGCTGGCGGGGCGGGCGCGGGGCGCGGGGCGCGGGGCCGAGCCGGGCGGGGCGGCCGCGCTGTGCCTGCGGGCGGCCGAGGGCGCCTGGCGGGCTCAGACCCAGCGCGGGGATGCGCTGCCGCTGCCCGGGGACGCGGCGGGGGGCGAGGGCACGGCGGGGCCGGCGCTGGCGGGTAACGGGTGGCTGCTGCTCGATGTGGCGGCGGGGCGGCTGTGGGTGAGGCCGGCGGGGGCCGCGGCGGGCCCGGCGCTCGCCACCGAGTACCCGGCGCTGGTTCGGCTGCGGGTGCCGGGCGGGCGCGGCGAGGCGCGGGCGGCGCTGGCGGCGCTGCGGGACGGGGCGGTGCGGGCCGTGCGGTGCGTTCACGTCGGGCCGGGCTCCGGGCCCGGGGACTGCGTGACGGTGCGGGAGGACGTGGTGGCACACCGGGGCCGCCCGCACCTCTACCTGCAGCGCCTCCGCATCGCCAACCCCACCGACAGGGTGGTCGCCTTCGAGGCCGCCTCCTCGCCCCCCGCGCCCGGCGGGCGGTTCTCCAGCAGCCTGGAGAAGGCGGGGGAGCGGCAGTTCGTGCTCTCCTCGGGCCGCCTGGCGCTGCCCGGCGGAAACAAGGCGGTGCTGGTGGTGGTGGCGGCCCAGAAGCTCGCGAGCCGCCTGCAGGTCGCGCCCAAGTCGCACTTCGACGAGACGGTGCTGTCCGTGGTGCACACCTCGGAGCCCACCGAGCCCGCCCGGCTGGAGGAGACCCTCGGCAGGCTGAGGGAGGCGGCCAGGAAAGAGATGCTGGAGGTGATGCAGATGGGGGTGGAAGATCTTTTCCAGGAGCACCAGCAGACCTGGTCTGACCTGTTCATTTCAGGTGAGGAAGGTGATGGCTCGGCTTCCACGGGGTTGGTTTAGAGAGCAGCTGAAAGCTCAGGTTGCTGTAAGGGCTCCAGGGGCTTCTTCCTCAGGGGTTGTGGGACAGTGAAACAGTTTGGAATCCAGCATGCTTTATCAAGTGGAGGACACCTGACTGCGCTAAGGAAGCGATGGAAGAACATTTCTGATCATAGCTCTGGGTGTGCTGCCTTGCATGGCTTCAGGAGCTTCACTGATTTGTCAGCTGGAAATAGAGCTGACCTTTAGTGACAGTAAAAAGACAGATTTCTGCATGGGAGTTAAGGACAGTCCTTAACAGGACAAAGATGGTTTTTCCTAAGATTTCAAAGGTGGTTTTTTGTAAGATTTTAATGGCCTTGCTGCTCAAGTAATGCAGAACTTGCTATTTTACAGCCCGTGGAAAGAGATGTTCCTTTGACAGGCCATTCTTGCAGAGTCACGGTGACATCTGTGTGTGAGAGTAGCTTGGCTTTCCAACTCCAAGTAGCAGAGAGAGTGATTTGTTCTTCTTAGACAAATACAAGGAAGCATTTCACTTTGTGGACAAAGGTTTAGTAGATGTCATAAACAATTTGGTCTTCCTTTCCTCCCGGTTAATGCCTTGTTTTCCTTTTGTTCCAGGGATTGAAATGAGGAAGATCACAGATGCTCACACCCCATCCAGCGAGACTGTCAACATGACCCTCTACTACGTGCTGTCCACCGTGCCAGCCCCCCTGCTGGACCCCCTGCTCAGTGCTGAGGACAGGGAGAGGATGGAGGGCAGCCTGAACTACGCCGACCACTGCTTCAGCGGCCACGCCACCATGCACGCCCAGAACCTGTGGCCAGCCAGGCTCACCAGCGTCCCCCAGATCCTGCAGCTCTCAGACCTGTGGAAGCTCACCCTCCAGAAGCGGGGCTGCAAGGGCCTGCTGGCAGCCGGAGTGCACGGGCTCATGCAGGGCATGGTGCTGAGCTTCGGGGGGCTGCAGTTCACCGAGAACCACCTGCAGTTCCAGGCCGACCCCGACGTGCTTCACAACAGCTACTCCTTGCGGGGCATCCGTTACAACAAGGACCTGATCAACCTGGCCGTGCTGCTGGACGCCGAGGGGAAGCCCTTCCTGCACGTGTCGGTGAAGCTGCAGGAGAAGCCAGTGAGGCTGTACGCCTGCGAGGCGGGCTGCATGAACGAGCCCGTGGAGCTCACCTCGGAGGCGCGGGGTCACACCTTCCCCATCATGGTCACCCAGCCCATCACGCCCCTGCTCTACATATCCACAGACCTGGTCCACCTGCAGGACCTGAGACACACACTCCACCTAAAAGCTATCCTGGCTCACGAGGAGCACATGGCCAAGCAATACCCGGGCTTGCCCTTCCTCTTCTGGTTCAGTGTGGCCTCCTTAATCACTTTGTTTCACTTGTTTCTGTTCAAACTCATCTACAACGAATATTGTGGGCCTGGAGCCAAGCCTCTCTTCAGGAGTAAGGTATAAGGCTGCTGCTTTTGGCTGCTGTCCACTGAGTGTTGTCAGCCTGGTGTTCTGTCAGCTGTGCCTGGGCAGGGTCTGTCTTGGACCGTGAGGATTTTCAGTCTCTCTTGCAGCAAGCAACCTGTGACCTCTTCTTGCAAGGGGGAGGATTAGGGCAGGGATTGGAGCAGCAGGGCTCACAAACATCTGTCCTGAGACATTTATAAGGCTGCAGGTGGAGGCAGACACAGCTTTCTGTCCTTTTCCCATGCATCATTGCTTGTTTCTAAGCCAGGAATGTCAGGAGATGATGTTTCCTGTTCTGCAATACCAGAAAGCTTGTGGGAGCTGCTGTGCTTGTCTGAAGTGCTGTGTGGAGATGTCACACCGGGTCTGAATGGGTGACATGTCACACAGCAACACCCAAATGCAGGTTGGCTTTCTGGCTTTTGGGACTCCTGGTCCATTTTCGTGGCTTTCCAGGCACTGTGCAGTCCTCCATCAAACCACATTTACCACCTTTGTTTGGGGGAGGTGCTGAGTTGGTGTTTCTCCCATTCAGACAAAATAAAGGAAAGTACTGAGTGCTTTTTACTGTGAGTTGGAGGCACAGCCTCAAGCTCTACTGCATCTCATTTGGGCGTAAAGAATTTATAATTCTTGGTTAGAGTTGCCTTAGGAAACTTAGTTGCTAGTAAAAACTAGAGAATAGAAGGTGAGTTCTGCTCTTAGTACTGGGACTTTCTGGCTATGTGTTGATACAGAGTAGAAATGCAAGACCAGACTGGATTTGCTGTGTGAGCTCCCTGTGGTGGTCAGAGGCTTCCCCTCCTAAGGGCTGAACAGAGTTAAATGTAGCTTGTGCTTTAAAAAAAAAAAAAAAAAAAGAAATTAAAAGGAAGTAGTTAAGTAGATCTGTCAGAAGAGAAGTTCTAGCTTTAGATTGCCCTGTTATTCCAAATGGTAAAAACAAATTCAGTTTTTGATAGCTAAGGCTGGACAGAAGGTACTGAACTAAACTGCGCAGTTGGTATGTAAGGGGTGTTTAAGGAGAGCTGGAAATTTCCCTGTCAGCTCCCTGGCTTTGTTGTGGTCTGAATACCCACCATCCAATGAAGGAAGGAGTGGGAGGTACTTGTGGCTGGACAAACTAACCTAGGAAGAGTTGGGATAGATGTGTGTGTCACACAACTGCAGTCACAAACCTCTGATCATGATCCCAACCTCAGTGCAAAAGGAGGAAGGGGTTGGGAGGTGGTGTCAGTTGTGCACACACCTGGAACGTGTCCCTGGAATTATGTAATTATGTCCTTCTCTCACTGTTTGTCTCTCTGGTTGCCTTTGTCATCTCCAAGACTTTGCCTTCTGCCTGTTCCCAAGTGACCTGTTGACCGTTGCTGCAGGTGACTGTCCCCGACTCTGCTCACTGAAATGCCCAGAAGCTTCACAGCCCCAGCCCAGGGCTGAGCCACCCCCCGGCCTGGACACTGCAGAGCCTGGAGCGACAGCAAACTCCGCTGCCTCGTCTTGGGTGGACCTGCTGAACAGGAAGGTGATGCACAACTTGATTCCAGAGCCAGGGCAGAAGTGGGAGCCAGCTGAAGCTCAGAGCCTCTGCAGCAGTGAGGTGGATGGTGGAATAACCCCCTGTTCCGTGAGTTGAATGGGAACATCCCCGTGTCCAAGTGAACTTAGTCCTGCTTTCAGCCTCTGTTTGCACAAGACATCTGACAATTTTGCAGCTGAGAACCAAGGACCTTTTGAAAGCAACAATCTTTTTGTGCCTTGCTATGACAGGAATCTGAGACTTGGAAGGTGTGGTGATTGAAGAGTTTATGCCAGAAGTTCATGTTAACAGATGTTTCCTTTTCCTTGTAAGCTGTTCAGTTCCCTAAGAGTAATCCATTTGGTGAAAATACTTGAAGATATACTAAGTTCTTTGATATTTTGATTTGGTTTTGTTTTGTTTTTCTTTTTTTTTTTTTTAATTCTACAGGAGAATAAAGAATGATGATTCCCTTCAGAGAGTTAACTAGAAAACCTTAGTGTAACTTCCTTTCTGGTATACATTTTTTAATTTATTGCTTGGGGGTGGGGGAGGATGTTGATAATTTTGCCTCCACTTCAGTAACAGTCCATTGATCTGTAGATATCTAAGTCCTGGTAACAGGTTTTTCAGCCTTCATGACTGTAGAGTGCAAAATCAATGTGCTGAAATTGTTTCCTGGATTTACCCTTGGAAATGCTGATCTGCAGGTTTCCTACTCTAAGCCTACTGAGACTTTATGCATTGATTTGTTTTGGCTAGGGGAGGGGGAAGACATCCCACTTTCTAGTGATTTAAAGGTTGTTTGGTTTTAAAATACCAAAGCTGTTGTTTCTAAATAAATATCTTTCAGTCTAATCTGATTGCTGAAGTGTGGTTGAGTTTCCTGTTGGTTTTATCTCTGTTCTCTCCTGTCCTTGCTCCCCACCCAGTTAAACAAGCAGAGCCTTTTGTTCCATCTGTATCCAGTATTGACTGCAAAACTGCTTGGATTGTGAGAGAATACAGTGTGGGAAATAACACAGAAATGGATCTAAGCTGGAAAGAGGAATTTGGAAGGCACAAGTAGAGCCAGAACCACACAGGGTTCCATTTCCCTGCTCGGTATAACTGCCCTGCAAGGGAATAAAGACAGGGAGGCAGCAGAGTCCGTGATAAATTGTACACATGTACATTGTGTCTGGAGGGAGATATTTGCTGTTCTGCTCTAACAGAACATACCAGAAGCTCCTGCTCTTTCCTCCTGCAGTTGCAGGAGCTGCTCAGCCTCTGTGGAACATCTGGCACGAAGATGATAAAGAGTTTCCAGGGTGCTGTTTCCCAGCCCCTGTGGTATCAGCAGGGGGCTGAGCCTTTTGATGTTCCCTGGCAGGACTGCCAGCAGTGTGATGGCCATGCAGTCCAAGAAAGACTATTTAGACTAGGCCTGGGAAAGATGGATAAGCAATCATTACATAAAACATGATGGAACAAAAAAAAAACAAAACAGTTTTGAGTGTGTTTTACATTAAATACGTTATGATTCTTATGAGTGCTCCCCCCCCATAACAAAAGAACTGATTCAGAATTCCCTCACAGAGGGAAAAAGAACATGGGTTTTTCCATTTACAGCATACAAGAGAGCAGAAGGTTATATTTGTGAACAGAAATGCTTAAAGAACTAAGCAAAATTCCATGTTTACAAGCACACAACAAACCAGGAAAATTTAAATAGCAATTGACCATCCAAAATTTATACTTTTAGTTGTAATTCAGTGAAGATGATGGTGGCATGGAAGTTAAACAGCATCATAAAATGTTGTTTAGCTTGTAAATTCAGACACTTCTAAGAAGAGAGCCAACTAATTAATGGGGAAAAAAAAATTAGAATCTCCATTCTGCACCCAGTTAATCCTGGTTTCTGCTTTTGTCAGATAATAAATACAAGATGCCAGAACAGGCTTTGGTTGATCCAATTTGCAATTCAGAATGTGGCTTTTTTTCAGGGCTATTGTCTGGGTAGGAAAATACATTCTTGAGAGGCAGACAAAACAGCTAAGCATTCTGTCCTTCTGCCTTCCACATGTGTGCTCCAGGCATCCTTCACCCCAAGCAGTGCTCCATGGAAGCCGTGGAAATCAGGGATTCTGCTGCTTGGTAATCCTGCTGTTAAACAACACATTTATTTCAGGATTTTCGAGCCCCTGGTTTGGTCTGTGTTTGTGAGATTCGTTTCCATTCTGGGAACTTTGCTCCCTAGGTGTGACCCGGCTTGTGGGCTGGAGATGTTTGGGTTTTAAATAACCAGCAACAGTTTTTCAAGGGTTGGTTGGTGGATGGAAATGTGAGAGAGGATGGGAAAATTGCTGGAGCAGAAGATAAAAAGGAGGAAAGAGCCAAAGGTAAGTGTTGATACCAAGTCACTGATCTCAAATGTCAATAATGAATCACAGAATAAATTGAATTGGAAGGGACCCACAAGGGTCATCGAATCCAACTCTTAGCCCTGCACAGGACCATCCCCAAGAGTCACACCCTGTGCCTGAGAGCAGAATTAGGACATTTCCTCCTGTGGCAGCAGCTCTGGAGGGCTGTAAATGCCTGCTCTTGCTGCTTTGTCCTCAGTGGAAATGCTTTACTCTTTTCCACAGCCAAACTCACACTGTTCTGTCCCAGGTCTCCCTGCTTTGGGGAGTAAATGCTGCAGGAATTCTGTTCTCCCCCAGGGCTGTGCCACTGACCTCACAAAGAGGAAAAGGGATGAAGTCTGAGTCACCCCCCTGCACCAGGTTTTCTCCATCGTCCTGGACAGCTGGTTCTTTGTAGGGCTCCAAACACGGTCCACTTCAAAGTGATCAGTCTGGTTTATTGAAGAAGTCTGGTGAGCTGAGCATAGGAAACTTGATCTGGAAAAGGAGACAAGATACGGCTTTTCAGCCAGTACAGAGTGGCAGATGCCATTCACTCACAAAAAAAGTAAAAAAAAAAACCCAAATCAGAACAAAATAAAATTTCAAGCAATCACAGAATTGGCCCTCTAGAGATCAACTAATCCAACCATGCTGACATGTCTGAATTTATCAGTGTCTGAATATATCAGACACTTACTGCTGACAGATCACCAAGTGTTAAAAAAATTCATTTCACCTTTTCCTCCTGAGAACACCTTTGTGATGAACTTTCAAGGCAATGGAAATGCAAACAGCTGCTAGAGATAATAAGCAGCTAATTTGGAATTCTTTTTAACCAAGCTGTTGATACAGCCTGGCTCCAAGGTCTACCTAAACAGAGATTTTTTAGCAACTTGTGTATATAAAAAATTATCCCACAATTACACGAGTTTTCCACTTACCCAGAGATAAAGGACACCCTATAAAAGGGCTTGTGGAGGGGAGCCTGCAGCACCCAGGAACCAGCACCATGCTTGCAGTGCTTTCTGCTGTGTTGACTCTGGCAGCTGCAGGTATGTGTCCAATTTCTGCTTTAGTTCTAAAGGAAAAAGTTAATTAAAATCTAGAAGCAACTTCCCTTTCTTAGAGGAAGTAGAGCAACGAAGCAGAAAGAGAGACAGCATAGGCAGTTCATGATGGTAACCAGGGGTTGGGCTGTGCCACATCTTCAATTTTACACTACTTTTAAACCACAAATCCTGGTTTGTATGTCTTCCAGCCTTTGGCTGCGGGGTTCCTGCCTACCCACCTCTCGTGTCAAGAGTTGTTGGAGGGGAAAATGCAAGGCCCTACAGCTGGCCCTGGCAGGTTGGTCGTTCTGTGCTTTCCCTGGGGCTGTTGGGGCTGTGCCACCCTCACTCAGCACAGCTGAACAAAATCACCTCTTTCATTTCCTTTGATGCATCTTGCCTGCCATGAGTTAGGTGTTGACTATTCCATCCTGATCAACCCCAAAGCTTCCAGTCTTTTTAAGAGAACTCCCCACCTCTTGCTGGCTATGCAGGTTTTCATTTCCAGTCAAGTAGGCTTGGCTATTTAAACCAAGATACCTTTAAAACCTCAAGCTCTTGGATGATTTGGAAGGATGGGAAGCTTTCCTGTGGCCAGGAGTTGGAAGCTTGTTGCTCCAAAGCCTTCCACCATCTTCCAGCAGCAAGTTGTGTGCTGGGTGCAGGAACAAAGTGCAAGAATGAAAAATCAGTGACAAAAATCTGAGCCTCACTGGGTTCCTCCATCCCAGGCCTCCCTGCAATACTATTCCAGTGGCAAGTGGCGTCACACCTGTGGAGGAACCCTCATTGCCACCAACTGGGTGCTGACAGCTGCTCACTGCATCAGGTAAGAAATGGAGCTAAAGCTGCACCCAGGTGAGCAGACAGAGCTGGAGCAAAACCACATCAGTGCCAGTTCTCCCTTCCTCAGTTAAGGGCTCTGAGTTTCAGATCATACGTTTTGATTATAACCAATAAGTCAGAAGAAGAATGACACCTTTTCATTTTCTTAAAATGGAAGTAAAAGGCAACCCCCCCTCACAATAATATTATGATTCAGTTATTGTATTATATACTCATTTTCTGTAAATAATTACAGACATCCTGATGTTTTCAAGTTGCTATTAAAATCCAGCCTGTGTTGCCTGTTTCTGTAATATATATGTCAGTGAGATTCACAGATTAACTAATCAGTCCAATCCCTGAAGAAATAATCACAAGTGTTTTGAATGCACCAGTCATTTTCAGTAAACTCTTCATGTTATGGGACAGCATAACAAAAAAATGACCAGGTTCAGCTGTGTCCTTTCACCATCAAAACTGTTTCCCCATTTTGCTTTGGGAGTATGTGGTTGTTGGAAAACTCTGCTGTAGAAAATGTCCTAATAAGAAATATGAAGGATTGTCTGAATGTTATTATTATAAATTCTACCTATTATATCTGTCACATGGTTGTTTATTAGTGAAGCTGTTTATGGCTGTCAAAAAAGTCCAAACTGTTTATGGTGTTGAAGAACACGAGCTGAATCCTGCAAAGACTGGAGGCACCTTCAGTTTGTTAACGAAGCCCTGAGCAGGAGCTGACAGGATGGCTCAGAGATGAAATTATTATTAAGCCTAGAAGGGTGATTAACAAATCCCTGGCTCAGCTCCAGGCACTTCAGGGGAGGTCACAGTCAGGGATATTCTTATGGAGTCTCTCAGGTGGCAAAGCTGCAGCAGCCTGAGCAGCAGCTGCCTCACTGAGTGTTGATCCTTTCCCTGCCCAGTTCTTCTCGGACATACCGAGTGTTTCTCGGGAAGTACAACCTGGCAGCTGAGGAGAAAGGATCCATTGCAGCTTCTCCTGAGAAGATCATTGTCCATGAGGACTGGGATTCAGAGAGCGTTGCAAATGGGTAAGTTGGGGGCAGGAATTTTGGCAGTTTTTAGGCGCAGGGCAAAAATCAAACTGCCTGAATCCCACCCACCTGGAATTGTGGCAGCATAAACACCCAGAGCCTCCTGCTACACCTTGCTCATAGATGAGAGTTGAGCCTCCAGTTGATACTTTTCCCCACTCAAGAGAACACAAAGCAATTAACAATATTAATTTTTGATTGATTAATTGAGTTTTCGGGTGCCATTTTACATCTCCATGCTTGGGTGGGAAGAAGTTCTGTGCAATGATATCATTTGTACAGTGGAAGGGAACAAAATGCTTTATACAACACTCTTTGGAGCCCTCCTACAAACACCCCAGACACAGTATTATTGATGAGTGGCATTAATATCTGTGATATCTGATAATTAATATTCTTGCTGGAGGACCCCCATGACCTGCTGCAGGGTAAGGCATTAGCAGAGAAATCCCCTCAGTTCCAGGCCTATGGGGTGAGTCCTAACACATGCTTGGTTTAGGGGGAAAAAAACCCTATTAAAGACAATTTTTCCAGCAGGAAAGTGGACAGTTGTGCAGGAAATATCCCTCCAGTCTGGGATATATTCTAGAAATATCCAGAAATGGATTTCCCCACTGCTTTAGGAGTGCAGGCATCTTTACTGCCCATTCACTGGCCTCCTTGCTCCCTTTCTTCTCTTTGGAATGGGCCAGGCGCTGTGTAATAACTCAATATTCCTGCTGTTGTGTCTTGATCCATTAGCAAACCTTTTTCCCCCTCCCTTTTCCCTCCCCCACTCTCCAACACGTGTGTGTGACCGCAGGTACGACATCGCTTTGATCAAACTCTCCGAGCACGTCCCCTTGAGCGACCAGATCCAGCTGGCCTGTCTGCCCCCTGCCCAGAGCATCCTGGCCTCCAACACTGCCTGCTACGTCACAGGCTGGGGGAGACTGCAGAGTGAGTGCCTCTACATTGCCAAAACTCTGGGATTATGAAAAAAAAAATCAACTTTCAGAAGCGCCTTCTCCTCTGAGATGGGCAAAAAAGGCTGTCGATGGTGCTGGAGATCCCCTCAGACTCAGTGTGGTGAGGTAGTTTATCATATCAGCCCCCACTTTGCTCACACAAGATGATTTTTTCACTGCCTTTCAAGTTTGTTTTGCTTGGGACAGGCTGGTGATGCACCAGAGGGGCCTTTACTGAGCTTTTAGGAGCTACTGTAGCACAAATGTTAAGTGTGCAGACGGGGGCTTTTGCTGTTCCCAACACACCTGCTGAGTGTCTGAAAAGACACGTGAGGGAACTGATGTGAAGTGGGGAAAATCTCAGAGACTTCAGCAGAAGTGTCAGGAGGAAACCTCAGAGGCTTCAGCTCAGCTCAGGAGGCAATTCCTAGAGGGATAAGTAAATTGCAAGCTCCTGAACAAGGAGCAGCCCTTTATTTCTTTAACAGTGAGAACATTTTTTAATGGAATGCAAATTCTGAGTAAGTTAAGGACTTTTTTTTTTTCCTATATGAAAGAATGGAGCTAAGAAATGGATTATTCAATTTTCCCTTTAATTCAGCCCCTGTGGAGTGTCTTACCTGGAGGGATGAGATCCTGGGGGAAACTAAACAGTGCAGTTTTGCTCTTGCTCCAGTGCCAGGTGATATCCTGACTCCTCTATTTCTGCTCCCTCCTAGCAAATGGGCCTCTTCCTGACGACCTGCAGCAAGGCCTTCTGCTGGTGGTGGATTATGAGACCTGCTCCCAGCCTTCCTGGTGGGGAAAGACAGTGAAACCCACCATGGTCTGTGCTGGTGGGGATGGAATCATCTCCAGCTGCAACGTGAGTGCAGAGAACACCCCGCTCAGGGTGTTCAGACACAAACAGGCCTGATGGGAGGGAAAACAAAATAAACAAAACACAGAGGAGCTGTTCACACTACAACTGCCACTGACTGTGTTCCCCTTCCTCCCAGGGGGACTCTGGTGGCCCACTGAACTGCCAAGGGGCTGATGGCAGGTGGGAGGTGCACGGCATCGTCAGCTTTGGCTCTTCCTTGGGCTGCAACTACTACCACAAGCCCTCTGTCTTCACCAGGGTCTCTGCCTACAACAGCTGGATCGAGCAGGTGAGGCTCTGGGTGCTCCTGGAGGACTGGGACACTTGGATTTGCTGAGGTTCTCCCTGACTGGGATTTCTGCCCCCTGCTCAGCCAGCTGGATCACTGTTGGTTCAGCCCTAACCAGCCAAAAGTATCCTCTTCTTAAATAGTTCTCCAAATTACTGTCACTTTTAATTAAGAATTGATAGTAGGAATGCATTTTCCCTGTATCCTAGAGCTGTGTTTGTAGACATAGAGATTTTACTGTAGATTTCAGAAGTGATTACACAAATTTGCCTTCACCAATACACTGACTGTTGCAGTTGCATCCTAGAAGGCAGCACGTGCTGTTTAAGTCTGGAATATCAAGTGTTTTAAAATATTACATAACATTTGAGAACAGCAATCCTATTTCAGTTATTTAAATCCTGCATCTTGGATGCAATACCCACTATTCACAAATTCCCGGGTCTCGTGATCTGATTTTTCACTTGTTTTACATTTTTTATAGGTTATGGCAAACAACTAATCCAAGGAGAACTGAATGAGAGAGACACCAAGAAGGGAAACAGTTTGAACAAAGTCATAATCACGACACCTTTGATCACAAAGAACCGGGAAATGACGCTTTTAACAGCACGAGAATTAAACCCAACGGTAACGCAATAAACAGTGGTTTTTGCAAGATGAAAACAAAACGTGTGTCCCTGTCACTCCTTCCTGAGTCCTGGCAATCCAAATGTATCTGGGGACAATGCTGGAGATTTTTCACAGCCTGTCCCTGCAGAGGGTGGGCAGTGGGAAGAGTCAGAGCATCCCCAAACAGGGGGAGGGGGGAAGGGAGGCTCTGCAGGGCTGGAGGCAGGAGGGAGCTGGGGGACCCCCGAGGCTCCAAGAGGGACTTTCCAGAGCCAGCGTGACAATGCCCAGCAGGAAAGGAGCACAGGGGCCAGCAGGTCCATGCAGGTGAGTGTGGGGTCACTGCCAAAGGCTTTTGGAGAGGTTTGAACAGCCTGGGATCTCGGGATCTGGGAAGGAGAAGGGCAGGATCCAGCTGTGAGCACAGATCATGGCCCTGTTGTTCATTTTGAAGTCATTCAGGTGCCAGTGAAGAGCTGGGAATGGTCACAGTCGGTCCCCACACAGGGGATTTTTTTGCAAAGCATGAGCAGAACCATCACTTTTAGCCTGGTGTTAAATTAAAGCCCCTATTTGTATCTCTCTCATTGTAATAGGCAGCAGAAAATCAAGGTGGAATTGTGTTTTTCTTCTCCCCTCGGCACATATTTAAGAGTAAAACAAATAATGAGACTAAACAAGAGTAAAACAAATGATTAAAAACAGAGGGCAAGTGACCCAAAGGTAAAGAGTAAATAGAGTAAGGAAAAGGTTGGAAGATGGTTGTGAAAAAAGAAGTGCTCAGGGATACATTTTCCGGACTTGCAGTTCCATTCAGTCAGACATTTTGCTGTCATCACCTTTGGACTGAAAATACATATATATTCTATTAAATTAATAAGAGAAAACAAGGCTGTATGTCATCTTTGGGGATAGCACTTTTATTGCTTTTTTCCTAATTTACAACCACTGGCCACTATTCTGCTGTGGGCAGCCCAGCAGGAACTTATTTTGCCTAAAACCAGCCTCTGATGAGAAATAATAGGATTTACTGGGTTTTATTTTCCTTATTAAAAGTGGAATTTCATCTATCTGAAGGAGTAGAAGATCTGAGGAGGGTTTCTTTCAATCACCTTTACCACGAGGACATTTGTTCTTTATCAGTGGAAATAAGAGTTGCCCGGTTTTTCAGGAGTCACCAGCTCCAGCACAGCATCCTGAGTTGTTTTCATGAGTATCACTAGTGTAAGACTGTAAATGGTGGACTAATAGTTCTCAAAATTAAAATCATTAGAGGTTGCTTTGCTGTGTGGAGCACAGATGTCAATTGTGTGCAGTGAAAGAGAGACAGAGAGGTAATCATGAAGCTCAAACAGTAAAAATTAAATGTGCTGATCCTTCAGTAAAAACTGAAACAATACTGAAATCTGATTAATTTCCCTTCTGAAATATTTAGACAATATCACGAGAACAACTGAGCTCATTTGAACATGTCACCAGAAATTATTCATTATCTGGAAATGCCTATTAAAAACAAATTCTCGGATTTTGATTAAAAAAGTTCAACAGTTCCACTTTCACTGGAATGAGTAGCCCATCTTTTCATGGCCTTCCTTAAGAGATACCACAAAGAATAAGACCTACAGCAAACTATTATATTGTCCATCATACTCACAGAAAATCCATTTATTTTCATTCACTGTGATTTTGTAGCTCAAGGAAACAGTCTCTTTACTACACCTTTTCTTTGAAAATTAATGTCAGGTGGAACAAAATATAATAAAATATGTTTTTCCAAAGGAGTCAGCTAAAGCAAACTCCTTGTACTTTGTTAAACATCGCTGCTTGATCCAGTCATGGATTCAGGAGCTGCAAGAAACACTCCAGGGATCAGGCACCACCACTGTTGGATTTTTAATTTTTTTTTTTTTAATTCTTTTTTTTCAGATGTTTTCCCTCCTCCAGCGCCGGCGGTAGAAAAACAGTTCAAAGGATTTTGGCAGTGTGCACAGTCTCCCTCTGCAGCCTCCTTGGAGCCATCTCTTTTGATTTGAGCAGCAGCTTGGAAAGGTGGAGGAGCACGGGGAGAGCCCTTCGGGAATTCACCTCCTGTGAAAACCTTTGGGCTGCTCAGCTCATCTCCCTCCTGCAGGAAGAAAGGCACAGCTGGTTGTTTCCAGCAGCAGGAACGAGGAACAGATCATCCCGTGCTCAGCTCCTGGGGGATTTAAACTCCCTCTGCACAGCAAGTGAAGCAGAGCTGTACTGCGAGAACTGCCAGTGCAAGAAGGAGAAAATCTCCATTTGTAGGTTTTACAGTGATGATTTAAGACACGAGATAAACATCTCAGGGGACGCTGAGGCCGGGCAGGTTCTGTCCAGAGTGATCTCTGAACTGCTGGAGCGTTTCAGGAGTCCCCACGAAGACCTCAAAGCCACGAGACACAACCCTGACTGGGCAGCTTTTAAACTCATCCTCCAAACGAGAGAAGCCGTGCTCAGAGCTCAGGCAGTGCCGGAGCACCCGAGCCTTCGATCCACGCTGCCTCAGCTCTTTGCCACCCTGAGCTATGCCATTGTCTCCTCAGAGACTGCTCACAGGTGCTGGGTGGATAATGCCAACCTCTCACTTCATTTCACCCATCACGAAGGAATCTCTTTGTTCTCCCCTGACTTTGTGTCCCTGGGAGCCTGGGGAAGGGGACTGAGCTTTGCACAGAGCTGTCTGCTGCAGGAGGGACAGCAAAAGCTCAGCAAGAGATCTCAGGAAATCCTCTCCACCATGAGCCTGAAGATCAGCCTGGTTGTGGTAGCCTGCCTCATTTACCCCATCGTCCTCCTGTCCTTCAAGCAAATGACAGACTGGATCCACAGCTACGCCAGGAACCTCAAGGAGAAGACAGAGGACTTGAGAAGGGAGAGGCGGCTGGCTGAGGACCTCTTGCACCAGATGCTGCCCAAATCTGTGGCCAAGCAGCTCAGAAAATGCCAAAAAGTCGAGGCAGAAAACTATGACCAGGTTAGCAAATGGAGAGGGTGCTGACACCCAGGGCAGAAAAGCACTCACCTGAAACAGCACCTACCTTGGCGCTGGTTTGAGGAACCTTTTGCACCCATGGTTGAGTGTGGATGGAAATCCAAATATTCCCAATGGAAAGAGCTGTGCAGTGTGCTGTGACTGGGGCTGCGGGGGAAGAAAGAGGTGCTCAAATGTCCAGAAGTGTAGCTTTAGATGTCAATGATCTTGTTCCATCTTCCTTGGGTTTCAGAGCCCACCCCTGAGGGGCAGCCAGCACCACAGGACCACGAGCACAGAGGAGCAAGAAATGAGTTTCCTTCTTGTAAAACGGGAAAAATAACAACAACAAAAAATTGCTGCTGTCAATGCTGAGTTGTTTAGCAGCTGTGCTGCCCAGCCCACAGCCCAAATCCTCAGGCTGCAGCACCTGCAGTTCTGTTCACACCTTTTTCACAGACACCCCCTTACTTTCAGCTGTGCAAAGCAATAATAAATGTCTGCATTTCATCTGTAGGTGTCATTATCAAAACAACAACCCGTAATTGCACAATTAATTATAATTCACAAGAGTCATGACATCAAAAGTAGCTGAACCGAGGCAGGGAGTGAAAAGGTGGCTGTTCTGGATTAATTGGTATTAGCAAGGATGATTTGAGTTTAAACATTGACACAGTTCAGACAACACAGAGAAGAAACACTTCATTCTTTGCCAACAGCTATAATGTATTTCCCTTCTTCAATTCAGTTATTATGGTTTCTCTTGTTCTTTCTTTTATAAATTTGACTTGTCTTAAAAAGTGAATTTCTCTCTAAATTACTTGATCATAACAACGCCAAACATCAATAGAAGAGACACAAACCCCAGTTAATATTTCCTAATTCAACAAGAGCAGAGACAGCAGATGAGATTTTATTTCGGTTTGTTTGGGTACCCAATTTTGATCCCTATCACAGTTTAAGTCACTTTAAAAGAAAAGTGAAACCCTACTTCTATAAGAAGTCTGTTGATCACTGCTCAGAAGATTGAAAGCACTTGCCTTTCTGTCTCCCATCTGGCATGAGGTACTCAGAGAAGTGCAGGTGATTAGAATAATTTTATCTGTCAAAGCAATAGGGAACATTCAGAACCAGAGCATGTTAATTTGGGATGTTATGTACTGAGCTGTGCAAGGCTGGCTCTACGTGCAGCAAATCCCCAAACTCTCTGCCACTGCTGCCTGGAGCCCTTGGCTTCCCCCTTTCCTTCTCCCCGTGACAGGTGACCATCTTTTTCTCGGACATCGTGGGGTTCACCAGCATTGCTGCCTCCTGCACCCCCCTGCAAGTGGTGGAGATGCTCAACAACCTGTACGTCTGCTTTGACACCAGGATCGACTCTTACGACGTGTACAAGGTGGGTACAGACCCAGGGACCAGGACTCTGGAGGCTGCTGAGACCTTTCTTACTCTGTTCCCCGGTGAATATCAAACACCCCAGGCCAGAATCCATGAAATCCAAGTCCTGCAGGGCCAGATTTTACTCCGATTTCCTTTTGAAAGGGAAGTTCGGTGTCTGCCCTTGATGACGTGTGCCCCTTCCCCTCAGGTGGAAACCATTGGGGATGCCTACATGGTGGTGAGCGGCCTTCCAGAGAGGAATGGCAGCAGACACGCTGATGAGATTGCCAAGATGTCCCTGGATCTGGTGGCCGCCGTGCGCCAGGTGGTGATCCCGCACATGCCCACGGGCAGGCTGGAGCTGCGGGCTGGGATACACACAGGTACAGGGGGCAGGGGAAGGCAGGAGGAAAAGGGAGCAGGGCATGCTCTGATGGTGTGAGGAGAAGGGAATTCTGCTCCTCTGGATGAGCCACTGCCTCTCCCCAGGAGCTCAGGGTGAGTGTTTCTCCCGG